ATTTGTAATTTGGCCGAATATTCTTACTCCACAGGTTACACGGTCCATTGGTGATGATGATCTCAAGCCTTACGTAACAGCAGAACCTGAAATAACTGAAACTTTGCTTTCGGCCGAGGATGAATATATAGTAAGCTTCCTTAAAATCCAATTTATTTTCCTTCTACTGTTTGACTTACTCTTTAAATTTTGGCTTTTAGTTATTTCCACCTTTACCGTTTATGATATTGTTCAACGATATATGAATCTAGCCGATAGAATCTTAATTGATTGCGATATCTAAAGCAGAAGTAAACAGACAGTCAACTTTATAATATATTTTCCCTTGTTTGGATTTTGACGCGATTGGCTACAGATTAAGAAACGGGTTTTGATTGATTGAATAAATTTTCTCAGAAAATCCAACTCAAATTTAGTCCAACTCGACTCTCATCAATATTACAAATATAATCAAATAATATCAATCAATCAATCCTCACACATCACGTCAACTTTAATTCACTATTCATCTACTCGCATATTTTTAATTACCTATTATTTTCAATAATCTCTCTTCTACTCTTACATCACACAACTTTAGTGATTATATTTTAAATATTATTTAAATACAAAACTCAAAACCCCACCCAACCCTTCACTCAATCAACTTATTTAAGATTAACTCACTTTAACTCGAAATCCAATCAAAACCGATTTTGATTTATATCCAGTTTTCCCCTAACATCTTCAACGTCGACTAGTCTTGATCCTTGTCTTCGATAACTAATCTTAAGAATTTTTACTAGTCGTAATTAGTAACTACTGTCTTGCCTTATTTTTCCCCCTTTTCCCTCAAGCATGCACGACTTTATCCGGAACAGACTAAAGGGTGTATCTGGAATTTTACGACTGGATTTCTTTTTTTTCTCTTTTATATTTTTATTCGGTTTCTAGACTAGACTTCACGTTAGCTTTTTCCTATAATCGTCCAATAATATTTTTCAGGTAATGGCGAGTGACGGGTTGTGGGATGTTTTGAGCAATAATGATGTCATGAAAATTATAAAAGATACGGTAAAAGAGGCTGGAATGTGCTCAAAAAGACTAGCGACTGAGGCTGTCGAACGAGGCAGCAAAGATAACATAACCGTTATTGTCATCTTCCTTCGTCCCGTTTCGACAGCCGAGAGGATTTATTAAGCTTTCGAAAGAGAAATCTCTCTATATTCAATTAACATTCAAGAAATTAAACTGTTCTATAGCCAAAAAAGGAAGAAGAGAAAAAGATTGCTCAACCATTATTAAAGATTAATAGGTGATTGGATAATTTGTTGATGTATTGGATGGATACATTATTGATTTATTGATTTTGTATGTTTTTGGTGCTCCATTTTGTGATAATATTTTTTGAGTGATTGTTGATTTTGTGGTAATAACAATGATAATGGCAATTCAGGATATCCTGATAAGTGCATCAACAATACTAATTCAGGAAATCCTGATTTGTTGCCCAATCTCATCATGAATTCTACTTTTGAAAGATTGCTGATATGCAATCTAGCTTTATTAAAAGAAGATTTAAGGAATTTGTAGTTACTTAGAACCCAATAATGGTAAAAAAATAGAGCCAAACTTTCCCAATTTTCGTGCATAGATCATACGCGCTAAACACGAATAAAAAAAAAAATTATTAGACGTGCAAATGTAGCGTGACGTAGGTCAAGCTAAACACGAATAGAAAAAATTAAATTTATTAGACGTGCAAATGTAGCACTATTTAAGTCAAAATTTAATTGTCAAAANCTGCTTTTCAAAACTATTGCTCAAATTGCAAAATTAGTAAATTACTACAAATTATTCATGCAATCTGATTTTCTCATTCTTGATTACGTTCCCACTTTAAATACACGAATACAATAGAGATGGGAGAAAGAAAACTTGCTCTATTTTTCCTAATTCCTTCTCTAATGGATCATCCTCCGAACCCAACCCGACCCATTTCTGAAATGGAGCCCAAGGCCCGAGAGCCCGATCAAGACAATGAAATCGTGTGCAAATATTGCGACCGGAAATTCTCGAGCACAGAAGCGCTGAGCTGGCACGAGGACGCGCACAAGGTCCAGCGTGCGGTCAAGAAAACTGAGCGAGAATTGGGCCATATTTCGCGTTTTGGGCCTTTTGGAGACAGCTTTAGGCCCAACCCAGTAGCCCACCCTGGCCCATATGGTAGATCTCATGATTTTCGGAGCCCAAATGTCCGGTTTTCGGATGGGGCTGGGAGTTTGGGCTCTTCGAGGCCCGGGATGGATAATCTGGTGAATAATCCGGAGCCCGAAGATTATTCGGGCCGGGATTAGTTTCTTAAGATGTGATTGGATTGGATTGGATTAGGATTTTTCTGTTTTATAAAGTGGTTTATTGGTTGTATGTTGTTTTGTTTCTTTCTTAGTGAAATCAATGAAATAAAAAAGTTAAAAGATGTTTTCTTTTATTTTTCTCTAACGTTGATGGTTTGGTAGCAATGATTTTGGTCTCACTTGTATTTCATTCTTGTTGTAAAAGTGAAAATGCGAAAACATATGAGAGAAAAATAAAAACACAAAACGTTGTGCTGGGATTGAATATATATTGCACATATAACAAAGTAATAATAATATATCAATAATAATAGTAATTCAGGATATTGTTAGAAAAATGATTTACAAAACAATAGTAATATATCAATAATAATAATAATAATAATAATAATAATAATAATAATAATAATAATAATAATAATAATAATAGTAATTCAGTATATATTGTACATAAAACAAAATAATACATTATTGATTGATTGATTTATTTATTTTGTATGCTTTCAGTGCTTCATTTTGTGGTAATATTTTTTGAGTGATTGCTGATATTGTTAGGAAAGTGATTAACAAAATCATAGTAATAACAATAATAATGGTAATTCAGGATATCCTGACAAGTTCCTATAACAATAATAGTTCAAGAAATCCTGATTTATTACCCAATTTCATCATGAATTCTACTTTTGAAAGATTGATGATATGCAATCTAGCTTTATTAAAATAAGACTCAAGTAATGTTCTTCAACATCAGCATCTATGTCAAATGTTCTCATACAATAACGTTTAATTTCCTCCAATTTTTTAGCATAGATCATACGCGCTAAACACGAATAAAAATAACTAAATTTATTAGAAGTGCAAATGTAGCGCCGATGCAAGTCAAAATTTAATCGTCGAAATATAGATCATATGTGATATATATATTTTCTTGCACGCAAAACAATTTTTTTTTTAATGGAAGAACACAATATCTCATTTCAAATCTAGCTATATCAAATCTCAATAGTCAAAAGCTGTTTTTAAGGTTAACATCCTTAAAAATCAACAAGGGATATGAGAGATACGAGCTAGCATTTTACCAATTTGTGGTAAAAAAATGTCATTTTAGGAACCAAATTTTGATTTCATGTTGGCTTTAACTGCTTTTCAAAGTTCAAACTATTGCTCAAATTGCAAAATCACTCTATAAAGCTTTGCTTGGATGCAATGTGCCTTTTTTTTTTTTCTTTTTTTTTGTTAATGGGAAGAAATAAAAATTTAATGTGAAGGACTGATTTAAGTTGTCAAAGAGTAAATGTTAAATCTTTCAATTAAGTATTAGATTAGATATTGTTCGTATAAACTGCAAATTCTTTAGAGTATTGAGCTTAGATTTATGACTTGAGAACATTGTTCATTCTACTTGAGAGGAATAAGACAAGAGAAAATGTGAGTGTTTGTGCAAAGTTTCCATTTTCTCATTCTGCAAATTTTATATTTATTAAAGATTTTGTGTAGAGTGATGATTGAAAGTAGTAAAATGTTGTATTTTGAGAAAGAATCCTTCCTTCTCCCTAAATTAGATTTTTAATACAATTAAAATTTTAATATTTATATTTATTTTTTATTACAGAAACGAGATACTTTTACTTATTTTTGTTCACTACATAACTCAACCACATATTTTACTCTTAAAATTGTTATTAACTTTTGTTATTTATAAAAATGTAGTAGAACTATTCTCATTTCACTATATAATGTAAAATATTTAATATGCGTCAATATTATAATGAAATTTTTACTTTTTGTATTTTATAAACACTATTTGATTAAAATTTTGTAAACATGTAAATGTTAAACATTGTGTAAGTTTAAATTCAGAAAATTTAAATATATTAATAAATGACTTATAGTAACTCATTTAGCCCGAAATCCAACTATGCTAAGGATTGAGTTAGTCTGAATTTGACTCGTTAACTACACAATTCCATAAACGAGTTCGAACTTTACTCGTTTATCATTATTAATGAGTTGAGCTAAGTAAAAAGTTTGAAAAATTATATAAAAACCTTTATTCTCGAATCTAACACTACTTGTTAACTACATGAGGTCAAGCATTAACGAGATATGTTGAACTCAATATTGACTTTGACTCATTTCATTTAAGTACGCCTCTACAATTTAATTTTTATCATTAAATTATCCAACTTTCGAGCATTTAAAACTTTTTAAAACTAAAGAAATTCAACCTTCAATTAAGATTTCTAAGGATTTTTTAAATCTTTAAAAAACTTGGTATATTCAATTTAAATTTGTTAAGATCTTTTAAGACTTCTAAAAGGTATTCCATTGAGATTTTAAAAAGTCTTATAAAATTTCGAGATATTTAATTTATTTGACACTATGATTTGTTAAAACTTTTTAAGATTTAATGGGATTTTTAAATAAAAAAAACTTTATAAGAAGTCTTACTTCTCCAGACTTAGGGCGTGCTTGTTTATGAAATATTTCATTCAAAATGAGTTACTTTAGTTAACTAGAGTTAATTTTGAAAAAAGTAGTATAGTTAATTGTTAGTGGAATATAAATGATTGGAAATGATTATTAATGATTTGATGTAAAAGTAGGATATAAATGATTGAAAATGATAGATAGTTAAAATTATGTGAGTGGATGAATAGTGAATTAAAGTTGATGTGATATGTAAGAATGGTTGGTTTATAATATTTAATTATACAAATAATATAAATGATAGTGGGATTGAGTTAAAGTTGAGTTAGATTTTGAGTGAGAAATAAATTATTTCATAAACAAGCATGCCCTTAAGATTTTACGGAATTCCTCCAAAATTTAGAAATCTTAACAAATCTCAATCTTAAAAAGTCTCGAATGTCACTTCAAATTCCAATTAAATAAACCCTCTATAAATTCGGAATTGATAAATGTTATGGATTACCATTGCGCGGCGGAGCGAAAAACCAAACGAGATGACGAGTACGACAGACCACCAACTATCTTCCGAAGTCTTCAACGTCAAATTCTTCAACGACGTGATCCAAACCACCGTCACCCACGACCCCGCCATGGCCTCCCGGTGGATCTCCGGCGTCACATCCCTCTACGGCCGCTACCGGATGGTCGGCCTCGACGTCGAGTGGCGGCCCAACCGCCCCAGCCGCCCCGATAACCCCGCCGCCACCCTCCAGATCTCCGCCGGCCGGTTCTGCCTCATCTACCAGCTCATCCACTCCCCCTACTTCCCCCTCCACCTCGCCCAGTTCCTCTCGTGCTATGGCCACGATTTCGTCGGCGTCGGTGTCAAATCCGATCTGGAGAAGCTCTGGCGCGACCACCGGATGGGTTACACCGCGATTCCCGTCGATTTGAGGGGGCTGGCGGCGGACGTGTACGGGAGCACGAATCTGAAGAAGGCGGGGCTGCAGGAGCTGGCGAGGACGGTGCTCGGGACGGAGATGGAGAAGCCCAAGGCGGTAAAGATGAGCGCGTGGGATAACCGGTGTCTGTCGCCTGAGCAGGTGCGCTACGCTAGCGTTGATGCGTTTGTGAGCTTTCAGATTGGTAGGGTTTTGTATGCTCGTGCTGGTTTTTAGGTGAATTTGCCAGGTAA